AGGGAAAAGGGGAGTGGGGGTGCGGGAAGAGACTGAACAAAAACTGTTCACCTATGGATAAGGACAATGGGGGATGGGGAAAGGAGAGAGGGTGGGGAGGGAAACTGGTGAAGGGGAGCAATTGAGGGGGGGAAGAGGATCACATTTGTATCAATAATAATCTGAACAATAAATATTTATTAAAAAATAATAACAAATAAAAAAATAGGTTTTACTGGGGAAAAAAAAGCCTTAAGATAGTGTTCCAGATATATTTTATTTATTCAGTGAAGAAAAGGCTATTTGAAGTTCTTGTATTCCTTTCGCACAGAAATGCTTCACTGAGCTTTAAGGGAAGCATTCATCTACAGGTGCAAAATTTCTCAGCTTCTAAGAAAACCTAATCGTTGCAAACTTTGGAAATGTTAAAATATTATGCAAATGTCTTTTGTAAAGATATAGATAAAAACCTTAAAATAAAGACATCATTTCATGCTGGTCTCAGAATTTATGTTTAAAGATTAACATACACTCATATGCTGTGGAGGCATAGAGAATCTCTGAGTGGCAACAGTGGCTGAATCTACAGAGACAAAGATAGGAGGGAGTTTTATTGCTTAGAGTGCATCCTTCCTGTGCTTTATATTTTGTACTAGCTTACCTAACCTTTTAATTTAATTAAATGTGGTCTCTTTGATAGGCAAGCCAACTCATGTATCTCAGTTGAGGTAGATGACCTTTCTCTACAATCAGTCCTGGAGACCGACCTTCGCCCAATCCTGGACCTCAGGTATAATGTAGAGCAAAGAAGTTCCCTGCCTTATTTCCACCTTGAGCATCAGCAGTACTGGCACTAAATGGTACAGTGAAGGCAAGATGCTGTCTCCTGAGTGTCCCCAGTGGGTGGCTGGCCCTCCATCCTGAGGCTCCAGTTCTACAAGCATTCTCCCAGCCCCAGAGAAGTCCATTGCTTTTCAGATGTATCACTCTGGTCTTTGTCTTGTTGTCCCCACCTCTCCATCCTTGTGACTAAATGGCTTTTTCAAAGAGTCTAGTATGCACTCTCTTCCTCAGTAGCACCACAATGATGAAGGGAGAAAATTTAATCCCCTCTTCCTCTGGACCCTGGAATACCAATGGAATACATGGCAGTCACTACCTGTGTGCTTGGCAAATTACTTAACCTCTCTCAGCCTCAGTTTTTCATTCTTGAAACAGTGGCAGTCCTTATATCATCAAAGGGATATAGGAGAGATTGAATGAGCTCAGTTATACATATGATCTCTGAACACATAATAATCTGGCCACTCAGTATATATCCTATATAATAAAAGGCTGATATGCAAATTGTTCCCTCAACCAAGAGTTTGGCCAGCAGGCAGGCTGGCCAACAGCCCATGTCCCCTTCTCCTGGCCAGAATGGCCAGACCCCATCCATGCATGAATTCATGCACCAGGCCTCTAACACACACACACATACACACACACACAGACACACACACAGACACACACACACTGAGTGGCCAGATTATTATGCGTTCAGAGGTCATAATAATCTGGCCACTCAGTGTATAACTTGCCTAATATAATACCCAACACATAGTAGGTATGCAATAAATATGAAATGACCTCATCATTATCAGTAATATCAGTGATTCTCACTGCCAAAGGATGATGTTTTCAAACTTCCCAGGCGCATACACATTTCCAGCTCTCTGTCCTAGGACCTGCATGCAAGCAGTATGCAAAAGTAGAAACTGGGCTTTCAAGTCAAAGAGGCTTTAGCCAACCCTTAACATCAGTTCCTTCAACTATAAAGTGAGAATAAGTATGTCTTCCTTACCAGATCAGGGCAAAGATTACCAATAATGTTTAAAAAGCTGCTGGCCCAAAAGAGCTCGCTATATCTTGGTCACTTTTACTTTACTCCAAGGGGGCTTATCTGGCTGCTGGCTCCAACATGCTTTTCCCTCTTCCACCTCCACATCTTTGTTCCACCCACTTTCCCTGCCTGCCCTGCCTGCTGCCAACTCCATCTCTGGAAACTTCCATGCATCTTTCTTGTCTCAGTTCCATCTGAGAACTTTTGACCACAATGGCTCTTCCAACCTCTGAACTCATAAAGTATTTATTTCCTGTCAGGAAACAGGAGGTAGAAACCCAGAGGATTCCAAGATCTTTCTTCTGTGGCCGTTGTTAGGTCTATTCCTCGCTCCCCATAAGACCATAAGCATTATGAGATTAAGGGTGACTTTATAGCCCCTGTATCTACCCAGCATGGTGCCTGATAACCAATACATTTTATTTAATAAACTGATGAAAGAAAACAGAACTAAATTAATGAGTCCAGCTGCTTCTAACAAAAGATACCACCTTTCCCAGCCTTCCCCATCCATTCTTGGAAGTTACTCTTGGTTAGTAAGGGACTACACATGTCAACAGAACCATATTTGCAAAAGATGGGCACTCATGGGGATTGGAGAGGGAAGTGCTGTGTCTAAAATAACAACCACCCTAGAAAACGTTATGTCAGAGGGGGTCTTTCTGGATTTCTTGTGTTCACCCTCCTATACTCTTGTACAAGTCTGATTTGATTTTTTTAATATCCTAATTAGTTTTAATGTACTAGGTAGCTATAATCCCAGTGTGAAAAGTCCCGTGTGCAGCTGCTGCAGTTGCTCTTCGAAGCACCACGCCTGGATTTTCCCCTCTAGTGATTACTGAGCAATCCATTTTCACCTCTTGGCCTGGCGCCTGTGGCAAGGGTTCCTGCCTGCCTGTTTACTTTCTGGCTAATTTAGTTTCTTTACGTCATATGACTTTCAATGACCCATATGCAATATAGAAATTAGCCTAGTAGGACTTTCCTTAGAAGGTTCACAAAGATGTGCAAAGGATAAGTCATAGATTAATTTTTAAATCTAGGCAGAATGAGTCCATATCAGAGGACCCAAGGAAAGCTTATAATGCTGTTTTAATATAAAGAGAACCAAAGAGCTTCTTGATCTTTGCTATTTTCCATAGGAAAATGCCTCACCAAGTACATGCTTCCCTATGCATTTTGTAGTGGGACATGTATGAGGACAGGAAAAGACACTAAAAACTTGCCCTAGCCATTTTAGCTCACATGTATTAACTGCTTAATGCAAGCCAGGAGCTGGGCCAAGGCATTGACATCCTTGCTTATTCTTCCCCCAATTCCTGCGAGGTTTTTACCCTGATTCTTCAGATGAGAGCCTGACACACAGAGAGGTTGGTAATTTACCCAAGGTCACATGGCTCCTGGGTGTCAGAGTAAGCTTTTGAAGTCAAGTCTGCTGGCTCTGGAGCCTGAAGGTGTAACCATTGCCCTAGGCTTGTTCACTGACTTCTTGTTCAAGAAGAGTTTTCCCAGCATGTGTAATTCCCAGACAGTTCTCATAAGATCTTACTCCTTTTGGAATTTTATAATATTCATATGATCCTTTCTCTTTAAAAAGCTATAATAATTATTCAAAATACATAATTCAATATTCATCATGTACACAAGAACAGAACTTTTCTAAACATTTTTTAAATAATAAAATGCCACATGAGGAAAAGAATATGTCCTCTTGACCCACATTTTAAAACTTTTGTATAAATTGTCTAGAGTAGGTACATACATTGGAAACATACAGTTGTATAATGTGTGTCGCTGGCAGTCCACAACCAGACAGATGTATTTCAAAAGGGAGCTCATTTGGTCCTCAAGCATTTATTAAGCATGCCCTCTAATGAGTCTATTGCTGGCAGCACGAGGAAGACCACATGGCCCTGGCTGCAGACAGACCAGAACATTAGTTCCCCCAAAGCCAATATGGCAAGAAGTTCAGGAGAGAAAGAAAGCATGACCAACTTGGAAAAGATCAACGTGCTTTGTTGTAAAAGGCTCTTGAAAACCAATTTCTCATCTCCAGCTTCTTTCATTGGTGCTTATTGACCAGTATTAAGAGGGCCAAGCCAAGGGTAAAGCTGGAGTGGAAGAAGCCACAAGCTAACCACAAAGAGCAGGATAAATACGTGTGCATGGCTGGCATGGCTCAGTGGTTGAGCGTCAACCTATGAACCAGGAGGTCACATGCTGAGGTTGTGGGCTCAATCCCTAGTGGGGGGCATGCAGGAGGCAGTTGACCAATAATTCTCTCTCTCTCAACAATGTTTCTATCTCTCTTTCTCCTTCTCCCTTCCTCTTTGAAATCAATAAAAATGTATATATATATATATATATATATATATATATATATATATATATATTTTTTTTTTTTTTTTTTTTTTTTAAAGAAACATGTGGCTTGCCTCTGAGCACACAACAGCCTGGCTGAAAATGGATTAATTCTTGTTTCCAATGGTTATTTAAACAGGAAACATATGAATATGCTAAAACAAACTGAAGGTCAAAGTATTAGGCTTCCTTTTCACCTTCAGAGACAGCCTGGTTCTTGGGTTCCTTCAAAAGAGGGGTCTGTGCATTTATAATGGACAAGGTGTATAATGCCTTCAGCTTCTTGGCTTCTCAGGACTGTGAGGTGGCCCAGAGCCAAGGTCTGGCCACAGGGATGAGTCAGAAATGTGGGGGATACAGAGTTAAGACAGGGAGAATGCTCCAGGCTGGTGAACACAGAGCCCCACCTTGTTGGCCACCTTCTGTGTGCTGGGACTGTTGGCTGTGGACAGGGGAGGGGGAGCCAGAACTTCACTAGGCACTGCACATCTTTTGCAGAGAAGCAAATTATATAGTGAGCATGAAAGGCAGATGAGAGATTCTGGAAAATTCCAAGGAGGTAAATATATTTTTATTGATCTCAGAGAGGAAGGGGGAGGGAGAGGGAGATAGAAACATCAAGGATGAAAGAGAATAATTGATTGGCTTCCTCCTGCGTTCTCCTCATTGGGGATGGAGCCCACAACTCAGGTATGTGCTCTTGACCAGAATAACCTGAGATCCTTCAGTCAGAAGGCCCATGCTCTACCTAACCAGCTAGGGCCCAAGGAGGTTTTTACTTACTCACAAGGCAGGTTGGGCCAGCTGGTTAGGATTTCCTTGCTGGGGAGCTGGGGGGAGTGATTCCTGGGGGGTCTAGGTCAGTGCCTCTGTGGTGAGAGAGAAGTTTCTAAATGTCTGCCTTCCTGAAACTACTCTCCCTGCAACTCAGAAGCACCCAGCTGGTGTGTATCCTCCAGAATAGCAAATCCAGTGTTTGTCTCCCATTCTCTGATATATTTATAAAGTAATGGATGGTCCATTAGCTAAGTTCAGGCCTCTGTCTCTCTACAGCCCCCTCTTCACTGGCACCCCTCAGCAGGAGGTTGTTGACACGGGCTGCAGCCTTCCAGCCTCAATTCCCCTCCCTTCGCCACCTCCCCCACTCTTCTCCCTCTCCCGCTCCTCCCCAGGTTATTTGGGAGATTAGAGTTCATTAATTAAATCCTGTGCTTAGATCGAACTGTAACATTATTCCAATCACATTTATCTTGCAGGCGGCGGCGGAGGAGATGGCAGCCTCGCTGGAAACGCGCGGGGGAGCTTGAGCCCGCAGCCAGACGCACAGCGCTGCGCACTCCCTCTCAGCGGCACACGCAGACCCTCCATCTTCCTGCTCAGCTTCCCCGCCTGCTCACCACAGCCTTGAGGGTCCCACTTCTCTCTGGGGTCCCGGCCCACCCCCATACCTCCCCTCCTGCCTCTGTGGCTCCCTGACCCGGTCCCCTCCCCCCCAAACCCCGCCACACACGCTAACACGCGCGCGAGAACACACACGCCAGACACGCCAGCGAGCTGCTGGCTGCTCAATGGACCGATTTCCCCGCTGTTCCTGATCCCAGCCCAGCCCAGCCCGGGATGAGAAATTGCAAAATGGCCCGGGTCGCCAGTGTGCTGGGGCTGGTCATGCTCAGTGTTGCCCTGCTGATTTTATCGCTCATCAGCTACGTGTCCCTGAAAAAGGAGAACATCTTCACCACTTCCAAGTACGCCAGCCCGGGGGCGCCCCGAATGTACATGCTCCACGCGGGATTCCGGTGAGTGAGGGCCTCTGAGCGCCCTCGGGCATCTGGTATATGGGCGAGGAGGAAGGGGAGGGCCATGAGGTGGGGGTTTGGGGTTCTCTGAGATACCTTGGGCAAGACAAACTTCGTGGTCCTTCCACTCCTCTCTCCGATTCTGCCTCCTCCCTTTTGTTTGTTTTTTAACCCAAAGCCCCTAAACTCTGTTGTACTAATCGATATGATTGCATTTCTCCTATTCTTCCTTGGCATCGCTTCCCCCATTTCCAAAATGAGGGTAGAGTTTGAGGAGAATGATGGTGGAGAGAGAAGCACTGTGTGGTGTGTGTGTTTGGGGGCAGGGCGGGGAGTGAATCGGGAGATGGACGTGGGTGAGGTGAGTGCCTTCCCTGGGCCCTGTCCACAGACTCCTAGGCTGGGCTCTGGACAGTCCAGAGGCGATGTAATGGCGCAGGCGCCGCACTCCGCTTGTCACCTCCTCCACTCCCATCCCTCGCCGCCCATATAACATCAAATGTGGTTGTGCAGGTCTGTTCTTCCCAAGCCCCTGGGGTATTTTACCTTGATCCTTTAACCCAGGCTGCCATCCTTCCCCCTGGCTCCCCCTCCCCCCCCCCACCTCCACCTTCCCCTTCTGCAATTTCCCCACCCTCCTAAGGGCCTCCTACCCTCGCCCCAGGTCTAAGCCACAGCCTGATGCCAAGCTGGACTGGGCAGGGGCAGGCTCCAGGCGCAGCTTGACACAACTCATCGGGACCCCCTGACCCTACCTTTGACCCCTAGAAGTTCTCATAGCAAGGCCTCCTGTTGGGTGGCTGGCAAATACAAGCTGCCACTCTGTGGTCCATGTAAGGGCCTTAGAAATGCAAACCCTAGAGAAGCCCAGCCGAGCCGGTAGCTTCTGGGGTCCCCAGTCAGAGACTGGGAGTGAAGTCAAACCGAAACTCGGGAAGGAAGAGGTTAAGGCAGCAGCCACCCCCAGCCTTCCCCTGGGTCTAGGGAGTCCTCAGCCCTTTCCCCAAAAATCAATTCGCTGGGGCAGCCACCAGCGCGGCGCTGTCCGCGGTGCTGACTCCTGGTCCTCACCACAGCAGCCTGCGCCCGCGCCCCTGCCAGCCCCTGCTCTCCTCTCCGCAAGACGGCCATTTTATGGTCTCTCCCGAACCCACAGGGACGGACAATGGAGACGGATTTCCCTAGTTCTTCTTCTTCCTCCCGAGTGTGTGAGGGGAGCAGACAGTGAACCACATGAGAGGGGGCCCTGTGGTGGGATGGAGCCCGTGTGCGCGCCTGCCCGCCGCCCCCAGCCGGCAGGCGGGGCGTTAATGGCTCCCTCAGCTTCCCCAGCTGAGGCCAGCGTGTCTATCTGTACTCATACTCCTCTCCAGGTCACAATTTGCGCTGAAGTTTCTAAATCCGTCATTTGTGCCCATTACGAATTCTCTGGCCCACGAACTTCAAGACAAACCTTCTAAGTGGACATTTAATCGGACAGCGTTTTTACATCAAAGGTAGGCTAGGGGGAAAAGGTCCAAAAGGTATTTTTGAATTCTGGAGCTCAAAAAACAAAACAAAATAATCAAACAAAAAAATTCTGTCCCCCATCCAGAGATGTATTTGTATTGCCTTCTTGGCCTGAGTGTACAAAGAATGATTGGGAACCCTTTTTTATGTATGCAGTGCCCTCTTATAAAAAGAAAACATCAGGAAGGCCAATTTAAATGGGAGAAAAAAGGTATTTCTAATATCCTCCATAACTGGGGCTTAGTTGAGCACTATGATTTATAGTTAACATGCATGGCTGCCAAAGCCATCTATTTTTTAAGTTAATTGTAAATGTGTTTTCATTTCCCCCAATGGGGGGAAAAAAAAAAAACATGTTTAAATAAAATAGTATTGTCTCAATGAAATAATAAAAAAAATACTATAATTCATACTTGTCAGATTACTAGTGAAAATCTTGGCCCCAATATATGCAGGTGCTTAAGAATGGTTTTGTCTGCTTGTTTTCATTAAACTTTGACGGCTTCTACAATAATATATTAAAATATTTTAATAAAAGCTACCCAACATCATTCTTATGCATTGTCTTGCAGCAGTCTCCTTTATACAGTAGATGAAGGAGCTGATGTGGTATAGGGCTAGCAGTTAAGGTTTTGGTTTTGGGTTGTTTTTGTTTTGGAGGTGGGGAGGAAGGCTTAGATTTATTCAAATTTATTTATTCTCCTTAGTGACTCTAGTCTACTTTTAGCAACCCCAGATAAATCATTACTCCTCCCTTCTTGGTGGAAGTATTATGCTGCTAAATGGGGTATAGGCCATCTACTGTATTCATTAAGGGTGGGAACACTTATTTTAAATTCTTATTTTACCAGTCTATTTAGGGGAATGTGTTTTGGTCAGAGCACTTCTATTTATTGCCTCTCTCTTTTTTAATTTAATGACAGACTTAAAGCAAATTTAATAGATATCCAATTTTCTTTAAAAGTTGACATACTTTTTATGGCATAATTATGTGATCATGATTAAAACTTTTAAAACACTAATAAGAAATTAATCTATGATAATAATTGATTAATTCTAAAACCGAAGAATTGCCTTTTTTTAACCATTGGGTTTTTAATACAATATTAATTTTATGAAAACTTTAATGGGTAGAACACATTATTCCTTTTCCCAAAACATATTTTTAATTCAATAAAAATATTCTTCACACACTAGGCCATGTGACCCAAATGACCAGACAGAACAATATTTCTTTCTCAAAACTTCCCTCCTTTCAATCCATGCATTAGGTAATCTTTAATTAATTTTTCCAGCATCATTTTAAACTTACTTTTACCTTTGTAACAACTGGTACTAGTAAAGAGCAATATTGATAACTTTGGAAGTTTTGTATTAAAGCTTTAAGTTTATGTTGCTCTGTACTTTGACAAATGAAGTAATTTTAAAAATAAAATTTAGGTAAAGCAATGATATGCAAAGCATTTAGTTTCAATCCTGCTATTTTTTTAATGCAAAAGACAAAGAAAATTCAATGTGATTTCTTAGAATTGTAGAATCTTATAGCAAAGTAACATGTTACTCAGCTCTCTTAAATATTTTAAATAGATGGGACTTTAAGAGATGCTTAATTTTACTAAAAGCTCAATATGAAAGCAACCTGAAATTAGTACTAAGTATCACCTTCACCTTGTTTATTCTCTGAATTCTTAGAATATACACACTTTTCCAGGATTTGCAATGGTCTCTTCTTCTGAGGATTAGGTATCTCCAATTAAATTGTGTTTTTATATAATCAAATAGAAAAATATTCCTGTTTCATTATTCAAAGGACCTTAATGAGATTATCATCTCATTTCTATTAAATATTCAACTACACCCACTTCCATCACCATTTTCATCTTTTAATAATAGATAGTATTATACTGACTCATATCCAGTTGGCTCTTATTTGTACACCAGTGATATTTTATATTCCTTGAACACTGCAGTCCAACAGCAAACAAATAGTCCCTAATTACAAACTCTAAGTCACCAATGTGTGTGCATTAATGTGAGCTCCTTGGGGCCTGTGTCAATTGTCTCCCTATCTTTCTGACATAGTTTAACCTGTGCCTTCCCCTTAGTCAAATATACTCTTCATGTAGATCAGAAAACCAAAGACTGGCAGCGAAAACTGTAAGTTACAACACTTACAAGCCTCTAAGGATTACATTCACAAGTTGACTGAGAGATTAACATGTCTGTAGATTCTGAAACAGTCTCCCCTCAAAGACCACAATTATTATGAATGTATAATCTTTCTTGGATTCAATGTGCCTATGATTCTTGTCTGAATGAAAAGGCAGCATAAGACATAAGATGCAAAAATCAATTTTGAATGGGATGTATTTAATGGATTTCTTTTTATTTTAGGCAAGAAATTCTTCAGCATGTCGATGTAATAAAAAATTTTTCTTTGACCAAGAATAGTGTTCGGATCGGACAACTGATGCACTATGATTATTCCAACCATAAATATGTTTTCTCTATTAGCAATAACTTCCGATCACTGCTTCCAGATGTGTCACCCATTGTGAATAAGCATTATAATGTCTGTGCTGTGGTTGGAAATAGTGGGATCCTGACAGGGAGCCGGTGTGGACAAGAAATAGATAAGTCAGATTTTGTTTTTCGTTGCAATTTCGCCCCTACGGAGGCATTCCAAAGAGATGTTGGAAGGAAAACCAACCTTACCACCTTCAATCCCAGCATCCTGGAAAAATATTACAACAATCTTTTGACCATTCAGGACCGTAACAACTTTTTCCTCAGTTTAAAAAAGCTTGATGGGGCAATTCTTTGGATCCCTGCATTTTTCTTCCACACTTCAGCAACTGTTACCAGGACATTAGTTGACTTTTTTGTTGAACACAGAGGTCAGTTAAAAGTCCAATTGGCTTGGCCTGGGAATATAATGCAACATGTCAACAGGTGTGTATATTTTATTGCCTTTAACTCATACCTCACCAGATGGCAAATCAATATTGTAATCTCTTGGGGGTGGAAACTACTGGATTAGTTCATTGTTGTGGTTAGATTAGTACTTTAGGGCAAACTTCTGTGTTTTGTAATGAATGAATGAACCCTTCTAGGTAAGAAGTTCAATCTCCTACCCCTATTTGGTCACCAGTGCCAAATTGGGGGAGGGAGTTTGGTGGTTCATCATCCTACTGTCTCTATTCTTTGTCCTCTACCTTAGTGGTAAGCCCCCCAATCAGTCATCAGAGATCAAGAATTTTCTTTAAATTAGTAGCTATGACCTAATAATGCCAACTGCAAAATTAGACAAATCAAGTATTTTTTTAAGATGCAGTTGACTTAAAATACTCTTTTTTATTTATATTTGGATGTTTTATAGATGTCCAAAATAGATAAACACATAAATAAATCATAAATTGCATAATCTGTCTTTGTAATTTGGGATTTGAATGACAAAATATGTGAGTAGTATTTTATGAGCTCCTTGTTCCCTTGTAATTTGACCAGAAATGCAATATTTTCATCTAGTCTGATGACTCTTAACTCTGGCTGTACATTGGAATCATTTGGATAAATTTTTTAAGATACTGTTACCTAAGCTCTACTTTAAGAGATTCTATTGTAATTGGTCTTGTGGAGAAGGGTAGGGGCAGGTACTTGGTATGTCTTAATAACTCCCCAGATGATTCTAACATGCAGTCAGAATTGGAAACCACTAATCCAGGGGTGTTTTATAAACCAGTATTATTTGTAGTATTTTTTTTAAATCATCTGAGGAAATTGACTCAACTCTAATTTACCCATATGCAAGTAGCTAAATATTGTCCAGATATTACTACAAGTTAGTGGGCTCTTGGAGGCCTGGTGAAAACAGGGAATTTCAAAGACTTTTATCTTAGTAGATTTTTCCCATCCAGTAGTCCTCTAAAGTTTTCCAAATTTAAGATCTGTTTAGCTCATCTCTCATAGAAGAAAGAATCATTGTCTAGTAAACTGGAATGTATCTAACAGGTAGAGTGACACCATCATTTAAAGTCCAAACTAGAACCTTTTGTTTGAGAGAAAGAGAACATTACAAGGACTGTTCCAATTTTCCAGGCTGTATGGTTTTGAAGCCCACACAAGAGGTAATGCAGCCCAACTCCTAAGTTTAAAGATGAATTAACCAAGTTACCAAGAGCATGAGTTATTTGCCCAATGTAACTGTCCAAAAGGGGGCAGAACCAGAATGAGAAGCTGGTGTCTCCCGTGATCTTTGACCTCATCATTTTGCTTCTCTCTTGGCTCTATTTAAATTCAACAGTACCAAAAGAATTGTCACTAGTCATTCTAACTCCTATAAGTTAGAATATTAAAACCAAGATTGAATATTTATATTTCAACTGGTATGGTAAAGGATTAACTTTAAAGCGTGAAGAAGGAGCTGTATATGCTCAAAAACTTCAGGAAACTGGCCTTTGTGGCCTTCCCTGCCCCACCTTTCAGAAGATCCAGAGAATTAGCCATAGTGTCCCACAGCCACTCGGCCTTAAACCAGACACACCGACTCAATGAAAACTTGAACAAAACACATTCCATAGAAACTGATTCATGAACAGTTTAATTCTGCTACACAGCCAATGATATAAACACACACACACACACACACACACACACACACACACACCACAGCAGTCTCAAATATTTGACATTGTAGGAAGAAAGGCTACAGAATACTATCTAAATATGGAAGAAATAAAAACCATAATTTAGCTTTTTTTAAGTTCAGAAACTATTCATATACTTTTTTTTTTAGGTCCTGACATGCTAAAGAAGGCCTTGGGAAGCTCTAGTTAAAAAACAAAAAAGAAGGGAATATGATTTTTTTTTACAAGAGAATATTAAAAAATAAGGTCCCGCAATCTTTCCAAACCCTATAAGAAAGATTTAACTTTTGGAAAAGGAAGTGACATAAGGGATCCCTTTAGAGTAATTAACCCCTTCACACTCCCTTGTGATTGAGAAGCATAGTCACTCTCACCGGTGGGCCTCTGTGGTGTCACCACTCAGTCGAAGCCACCATTCTCTAGCCCTAGAGTCTAGGCCAACCCAGAGGCAGGGTGGGCTTCTAATATGTGCAGCCTTGTGATTCATACAGAAGCCCGTTTTAAGGCAGGCCTAGCACTTGGTTTAATAATCTGCTACTGAACTCTTGAAATTCTCGATACATTTTGAAATGAGGACCTACATTTTCATTTTGCTCCTGGTCTCACAAATTATGTAGCTAGTCCTGCCCAGAGGTGTTTTATAGTCTAAAAGACAGATTCAAAGCAAGTAGTATCCAAGTTGCTTGGATAAGTTGACCTCCCAGCCCAGTCAAATGACCTCTGACTGAAACTTTCAACACTGGCCACTGAATCCACCTGTACTTATTGTTCCACAGGTACTGGAAAAACAAACATTTGTCGCCCAAACGGCTGAGCACTGGTATTCTTATGTACACCCTAGCATCAGCAATATGTGAAGAGATCCACTTGTATGGATTTTGGCCTTTTGGATTTGACCCCAACACAAAGGAAGATCTTCCATACCATTACTATGACAAAAAAGGAACTAAATTTACCACCAAGTGGCAGGAGTCCCACCAGCTGCCTGCTGAGTTTCAGCTGCTGTACCGAATGCATGGGGAAGGGCTCACCAAGCTGACTCTGTCACACTGTGCCTAAGAACTCTGAACAGAAAGTGCCAAATGGTGGTTTAAAAAGTGCCCCGAATAAAATTGAATAGTCATCAGAATAGAACCCTAGAGAATTTCTTATAAAGAGTGTCTGCCATTTAAAAGAAAGATGTCTCCTTTCCCTCTGTTGCACTGCTCTCTTAAGGGTCTTAGCAGGACAGATGCATTGAAGCCACATGATTAAAACTTGATTGATAAATGGAATGTTGCATTTGGAACCATGCTGCTAACAAATGGCTTGACATATTTTCATGTTTGTATTTTAATAATAAACTGCCTCCCATTTTTATGAGGACTGGAGCTGGAGTTTCTGCAGCTTTGCTCAAGATATAGTGCTCATAATGAGAGGCCTCTAGTCAACTTGGGCAGGATTTCATTTTTTCCTGTGTGGGATTGGACTCTTCAAAATGGAAACATAAAAAGTTGTTATGCATATATCATCTCTCCATCTCTATCCCCCTCTTTCCTTCTCTCCCTCTATCTCTGTCTCTCCTTTTCCCCACTGCCATGGAGTGTAATAATTTGCTAGGAATCATAGTGAATTCGTTTTGCTTGCATATGTTGCATCTGTATTGGATGTGTTCAAAGCTCTGGGTAACTTTGATGTTTCATGACAAACTGAGCAAATCATGATGGATCTTGTTACGATTACTTTGATAAGAAATGCCTCTTATTAAGTACTCACTATCCAGATGGTCTTTCTACAGCAGAGTGGTCCCTCTGTGGTGAGTGACATATAATGCAGTGCATCTTTTACAATCACAGAGAAAGCCTATGTCTTGGGTGGCGTGGCCACTTGTCATGAGTGCTATTATGTCAAATCACTCTGTTGCCATATCTGCAAGGGCATTCCAGCCTGGGTTTAGTGCCTCTCACAATCCCAATTCAAGCACTGGGCTGGGAATACTCTCAGAATATAGAAGCAATGAGTCAACTTAAGAGCCTGGGGCATAGAGAAAGAAGAATGCTTAGAAGTTGTCATGGACTCCATTTACCTTAAACCGTTGTAACCATGTTGCCCATTCAGAGCCTGTGAGAACCAGCAAGAGTCGAGCAGAGTAGAAGCCTCCAGGTTGGCTAGGTCTCCATATGAATAGTGCTCAGGTGAGGTCAACTTCACCATCATTGTGTCCACCAGCACTGCCCTAGACCCATTTTCTCTCTTCAAGACAATTCTAGACACTGAATATTTCCCCTTACCACTGAAATCAGATTTATACATCTACAAATTAAGTATTTCAAAATGAAAAGCCATTGTGCAGTGGCAAAATCTGGTACTAAATAACTCTTGGAATTTGAGATGTGCAGACTTGCCATGAAATTAGTGGGCGATTCTCTTTTTCATTATTTCAGCCTTAGAAGTAAAAATCACATCACTTCCATCCCTGGCTTTTCACTGGGCAGCATTTTGTTCTTCCAATTCAGCCCAAAGTCTGGCCAAGTCAATGTTAAATTTTAATAAGAATTTCTTTCTTCTTTCCAAATGCCAGTCAAGCATACTGTATTTATAATACATTTTGGTGGGGTAGCTTGTTCTTTTCCAGAAATCTCATTTAGATTTCTTGCAATGTTACAAATACTGTTGAAAAGAATTGCTATAGTTCAATAATCGATCAGCTCACTCCTCCCACCCCTTTGGGAAAATATGATCATGCCTAAAATTAAACCAAATACAATCCGGAAAAACATAGTCCTTGTGCTCGTGGTCTACCTGGTTCTGAATGGGAGATATCTTATTCCAAATTTTTTAAAAAGTTAATCAGAGAAGCCTACATAGATCCAGATATTAACTAATGAAAGAAAAACCATACAGGTTCAAATATGTTGCCAATTGTGACATCTTACAACTCTGATTGATGGTAATCATCCAAATAGATGGGGAGAAATAGGAATAGATATTTCAAAATGGAAAACACTAGAACAGATTGATATTTGAAATAATTATAAATTTCTAAATTCAGTGGTATAATTTGATGCCTAGCAAAACCATGCTTGTTCCCTGTCACTCTAAAGAGAATGTTACTACAGTTCTCATGCTAGGCTCTGTCAGGATCACTGTGAGATTGATAACTGACAAAATGTTTAGTTGGCTCTTAATAAGCACTTAGTTCATTAGGTTACAGCTAAGTGATATTAATGCCAATATTGTACAGGCCAGATTTTGACTCTAGAGTTTTAATCCCAATGTGCCCATTAAATTTTACTGAATACAAATACATAGACACTTTGAACCAGACAGGTTAAAAAAGCAAAGAACCAGAATCTCTAAAACCAGTTAAGTGATCTATGGTGGAACATTTAAATTAGATCTCATCATAAAACCAAGTGTTTGTTGGATTTTTTTTAAATCTCATTTCACTCTTGGCTCATCTTAATCTAGAGTGGGAGAACTTTTCCATCTCCCAACATCATTTCATCTCTCACTTTCACAAGAACTCAAAATATTAAAGAAATAAATTTGTGCCTCAGAACTAGGAAAACTTAGAGACCAGGCTTATATCCTGTTTCTAGACAGGACTTCCTGATCCAAAAAGATCACTCTTCTCTTTTCTTTAAAAATCTCTGAAGAAAATCCTAAGCCCTCCCACAGTGATTAACCACCATTCTTATAATTTATAAATTTTATATACTGCCTACCTTCCTCCTATTGCAAAAATTAGATGCAATATATAGGTAAAGCATTTATCCTAGTTTTCAGCATGTAGTAAGCACTCAATATATGTCAGTTTTTATGGTTATTTTTATTGTTAGCTATACCCTTGACCGAGGCAACCCTGCTAGTGGTTCTCAAACCTGTGGGTCGTGGCATTAGAAAGGTTGAGAACCACTGCTAGCTTATAATATAAAATCTCTTTTTGTTTTTAAAGACTGTTTCAAAGATTAAACCTGTACAACTACTGCCATGACCAAAAGAGTTGGTGAATCCCATAAGTGCTGATATGAAAGGCAGCTGTGCTCTTAACCAGAACTCCCTGTGTGGTCAAGAGCAGTGAACTGGAAAGGCAGGCCCTGTAGCTGGATCAGTTCGGTCCCCCCTCATGATTCAGCTACAGCCACAAACCTCTGGCTTTTTCATTGCCCTTGCTTTATTGGTTCTAGGTTAAATACATCCTTTTGACAGAACCTTTCTTCGTTATGATATTCACAGCAGAGTCCACTCTCAACAACTGGAATAAATTTCACCATAAAACCCCCAATACGTGATATCAATACAAATGACCAATTCAGTTGTAGAGATAAGAAAGACCTATGGACATTTAGCAACCTGCTTAACGCTAGTCCTTCAAGTTTTCATGGTGGTTCTGAATATCATGTGCAGACATGAAGTTCCAAGGGAGACAGAGTTAAAATGTTATATCAAGAATGCCTCCCACACCCAGAAAGTCTTTTTCCTATCTGATAATTAAACATCTATGGCTCCTCTTCTTTTGCTTCTGTGTCTTAAATGTACTTAACCTTTGTAAAAGTACTTGTGTTTAGTAGTGTCATGTGCTTAGAAGTGCTGACTGTGACCACTGTGCCATCTATCTATGACTTTGGTATCAGGCTACCATGGGGCTACCAGCCAAAATGTGTAAAGGGAGAGGCTGCCTCTGCCTCCTTGTGCCTGAGCCTCCAGTTATCCATGAATGTGAATGCCAGGACTAACCTATTTGGTGGGGAAGCCAAGGAATGGAAGAGCGTTTCTTCTGACTTTGGGCAAGGTACTAATTATTAAACACTCTTACACAGCAAAGAGATGCTGACCCAAGGCCTAAGGAATCAGGGACAGACTTGTAGAACCCTAGGACACTGAAATTGGAAGAGCCTTTGAGCATCTTTAGTCCTCATTCTTGACATTGCAAATAAGAAATGGAGGATGGGAGAAGCTAAGTGATTTTCCCAATATTGCATAGATAATCAGAGAAGCAATTATACCTCCTCATCTAATATTTCTTGGCCTTATCAGCATCCAATGAAGATAGGCTCAAAGTCAAAGTGATTTTGGTCTGGGGTTCACAAGGCACAGAAAATAAGTTACAAAAGCTGTAAAGGAGGAAAAGATACCCCAAATTATTTATTTCTTAGATGCAAAACAATAAAGGAGATTCTTAGCTATAAAAAGTTTACTGATAATAACATATATTATGCCTGAAATGAGAGGAAACCTTGGTAAATTATGATTCTGATAAATCACAATTCAATTATTCATGGGTCACAGTTGACAGCTGGAATCATCAATAATCTATTCATCTTAATAAAATCTTGTCTTAGTGATATGTATGCATAATTTGAAAGTTGAATACTGAGAATGGTTATGTACTTCTCCATATGTATATTTTCAGCTGAGACTCCTTGAGGTAAGAAATACCTTTGTCAATGCCTTCCACATTCTGAGCAATTTCAACAGCAGACTTTGTATTACTACATTTAGTTCAATATGCTAAGATGTGCAAATAATAATGAATAATTTGGGTTGGGTCTTCATGTGCAAAATGACAGACTGAGCAATTTTCTGTATAGTAAAAGATCTCTAAATCTTTTTTCCCCTAATTGTGTGAATGTGCCAGATAAACATATCTGTTTGGACTCTACTTCTTCCTGAATGTGCAGAACTGTTTTTATTTCAAAGAGAGTTGGGGCTATGAGTTTGTGGCTGGAAAACCCCGATGGAGTATCTGAGCCCCCAGGGGCCACCTGATTGACCTGTCTTGAATCTGTGGCCCAATTAATCAAGGCCACAGGTCAGTGGACACCTAGGACCAAAATGACTAAATATGCCTCTTTCACACTCTGCTTAACCACAGCAAATTTTCCAACATTGTTATTGTATTATGCAGTATTTCTTAAAATGTTTTTTATTGTAATGAATTATTGAAGATATATGTGTTTGAATAGATGTTTTAATCCATAGTGATGCTCATTCTCTTGTTGATTACAGTGGAATCACAGTAAAGAGCCTGTCATAGAATAACTGACTGCAATTTAAGACCACAATGCGTTATAGGGTTAGGACCTGGATTATGCTGCTGATCTACCAGCAAACAAAGTTGTATGACATGAGAAGCTCTTTAAATGTATGGCTCTTGCTCCACACACTTTTGACTCTATGTCCTGGGATAAACCTAGCTTACAAATCCCAGGTGATTCTGGGGTGGCCATCATTTGGGAATGAACGATATATAGCAAAGTCATATATATCATTATCACCAAAGTATAATAGATGAAAGCTTACCACTCTTTATGCAAGTAGCAGATCTGCTCCTTGAAGTTATCAGGATACATGGCAACACAGACATAGTCTTACTGACTCAATCATTCAACTGGTAAATTTGTCAGAATGGATGCAAGACTAAAGATAGAGTGGAGAGCCATAGCTTTACTATACTTTACCCCTATTCCAGCTCTTTATATTTCAAACTAAGAAATGGATCTCAGGTAACTTATCTCTACAAATAGATAGAGAAGCAAGGAAGTTAAATTAATCATTTAGATTCTACTTGGATATCATTCCCAGAGCTTAAAATGTCCCTAAAGGGGTCTGATTTCTGAACCTCCATGTAATACCCCAAATACAAATGTTCCCATGTTAAAATGAAACCAATTTTTTTAAAAATCAAGGAGCTAAAATTCTTAAGACCAACTGGGTATATGTGAGGAGGTCAGGTGGCACTGGGATGCCCCATCATAAAGAAGTTTTGGCCTTCCATCGCTGTGCACATGCAGAGCCTTTAATCGTCAGAGATAGTAAAAGGCTCCTTTAAATTCCTTTCTGTGAGACTGACAGTTTTAAGCTCTTTGATGTGCTGCTAAATGTTCAACAATTGGCTCTAGAGAATGATGAAGTCCTGATTTGTAGCACTTGCCAATTTCTATGGTATAAATACTCTCACCATAGCCAATTTCAAGCTACTAAGTTGATGTCAACCAGCTAAAATGTTTTAAAGAGCCCATCAATTTCTGAGAGAGTGAGTACCAAATAGGAGAGATCAGTGATTTTGGAAGAATTCCCAAGTACACTTTCTTCCCAGGGAAGCATTTCTACTTTGATTCTACTAATTTTTAGTATACTGTTGGGTCCCAAAGCTAAGGACCCTAAAGTGTTCAAAATATTCCCTAGCCATGTGACTCTTATGAACCTCTTAACATACTCCTCAGTACCTTAGGAGATTACTAGCCATGGCTTGTCTCATTTCTAAGAGTGAGTTTCCAGGTAAACATTTGTTTTTAACTGCCAATTGAAACAATATTTGGCTGATCTTATTTCATAGCCTATAGTCCATCACCTATTTCTCTACTTCTCTAATTTTCCCTGGGCACTTGCTTTTCTTTTCTTTACTGAAAAATGGTGCCCATGTATATTCTTTTTTTTATTATTTTTTAATTTTTTTATTAATTAAGGTATTACATGTGTTTTCATCCTTCTGACACAACACAAAATTTATAGACATCAAGAGGAAATTAGTGTGTAAAGGAGCAGAGGGAGAATAAGACATCCCATATGTTTACTTGGCCACACCATACCTACAGCGGTTCTGTAGTTCAAATGTTTCTACCCCATCAAGAGATTTTCAGGATGCCTCGTTCCTAGGGTTTGAGTATGCACTCAGCTGAGCTTTACCAGTATTTGCCCTCAGAAAAGTTCCAAATGGAAAAGAAACACCACTAAATAGAATACCACGGGCAAACTTTCAGAGGAAGGTGTCGTGCAATGCCTTGCATTTAGCTAAGCTAGTGGAAGGCTGAATCCTGAAAATAAAAACTGCCAACAAACATTTGGCCACTGCAGTTCTTTCGATGTTGAGCAGTGAACATTCCTTCTTAACACTGCTTGTAAGTGAAAGCCTTTCCTTACTTAGGAATCAGACACCCTGGTGAGCAACAAAACAAGCTTTGTTTGCAAATTAGAGGTTTTTCTGGTAGAAATCATTCTTAAATGGGTTTATTTAGATCCTTTGGAAGGCAGTGCTAGAAAAAAAAATGTTCTTGATTCCTCATACACAATAAGTGGCCATTGTTTTTTATCCTGTGTGTAGTAAATCAAAATTAGATCATAGAGGACCAAATCTACTTCCCTCGCTATAGTATATATCCTATAGGTTTAGTAAGACATTGCTAGACTATAAATGTTTGAAACTCAACTTGAACATTTCCTATATTATGTTTAAAAGGCCAGGGCACACCTCTGGTTCTTATTCTCCTTAAGTCATCTAAATGCGTTTGTTTCTCTGCACTGGATAAGTTACATTTGGTTTTAAAGGAGTCAGGTACATGTTCAGATGTTATTCTGTATTTACAAAAATTGCATATATACAGCCTGGGAACAGAATACACCTCCATACTCTGGCTCTTTTCTGGACACCAAAGATGTAAGTCCATAAACATAAGCAGAAGGGACTTGCTAGCAGGCCCCATTCTATATATTATAAACATGTTCACAGCAAATCCAGTCTTGGGGGTCCAGCCACTCTCACAACATTGTTAGGTAGGAAGGTGGGGAAGGAAAATTGGTAGATAATGGGAGAAAGGTTTAGTCAATGTGCATAAATGGCATAAAGTCATTGGCATACTTGCAAAAAGGAAGGGGAAGTTTCTCCTCGAAATCTGGAATCTAGACCATTTTTGCAAGACTTAAAATAATTGGTCTCCATGTCAGAAATGCTCTTTAACCACATTTTAAGATATAGATCTGAGCCCTTCCTATTCGGAGAAGCAGCCTGAGAGCCAAGAGCCTGAGAGGGGTTTATTGATGGGTTTAGATCCAATCATCAAGCACTGACCAATTAGCACTGAAATTATCCCAGGACACAGAACAAAAATACTGCACTTACACAGGACACAGCAGCACTTCACAGATCTAGACATTATCTCAGGTCTGGATTCTAAACCAACATTATCAATGTGGAGGTGCGAAAACTGAGGTTCCAAAAGTAGGAAGTATCTTACTTCCCAGCCAGTTATCTGGAATTGGAGTCTGGGCACTTCAAACACTAGCTGTGCTACACCACAACGTGCAGCCTCCATTATTTAGATGGAAAGCTGACAATCCACTGCGAAAGCATAAATCAGAAGTGAAGACAAAAGAATGTTTGTGACATATTCTCTCACTTAACCTCCTTGGTTTCACCATTTCATCTTAGCATCATTTTAAATAATGTCATATCAATGTAGAAATAAGAACAAAGCTCTCTATAATGATGAAACCAAAAGGTGCAATAGCAGGAGAACAGTGAATGTAAGTTATTAAAGAAATGTGCGAGAAGCATGTGACAGGGAAAAATAAATGCTTCTTATATTGTTAGACCATCAAGCCCTCCCTCCCACGTACTTGATGCATTTGTTTTGGAAATTGCTATTTTATGCCGAGTGACTGGCACTATAGACTTCACTTCCTCTCAGCCCCCTCAGAAGAAGCCTTGGCGCTTAGGAATCAGACTCATGTCTCTCGCAAACACGCTACCAGACTGACAGAGCCATGGAGACCTGAAAGAATGGACTGAGGATCATGTAAATATCTTCTGCCTTCTTGGTGAACAAGGACGCTCATCTTTCTTTTGTAGAGGTAATCGCGTGTGCATTGTGACTGTAATTTGTGAAGAAATGCAATGATTTGCTTCGATAGCTCTCTACGTGTACCTGTTACGTGTGAATGTGCCTGCCTTGTTGCCTCATGTGCCAAACACAGTACAGAATGCGTTGTTTTTAAATAAACTGGTTTATTGTGCATTGGAGAACTGCTGGTTGTTTCTGTCTCATTAGGAAGACCCACACGCACACACTAGCACGCTCCATCCAGTGAAAAGATGAAGCGCAGCCTCCTTTTCTTCCCTGTCCGTGTTTTGAAGAATTCTCCTTGGAGATTTGTGAGACTCCAGAAAGGCTGGACTTGACTGCCTACAGAAATGAACTAATAGCAAAAACTAAAAATGCTTTCTACACACAATTTTTCCAGAGGTACTTCAAATGCAAATCATGCAGCAGGCCTTAATGTTATTAATAATAATATGTTCAGTCAAACCTCATTTCTCAAACGTCTCCCATCTCCAACAATTCAGTTCTTGGCCAAGTTGTTCACAGAAAAAAATGTCTCCATTGTGGAACCAAATTTCAGTTTTTGAACTGACAACCCTTTCATGCTGATACCTCAGCATGACAAAAAGCATCTCTCAGGCGACAAAGGAGAGAAGGCTTTTATTGCTGGGGAAATAAATGATTAGCACAATTTTAAAACTTAAAGAGGCCATCAAGAGTGGTAATGTTGCTTAGGGTGTGAAAGAAGCAATGGTCACAGGCAATTGAAGAGGTAGGAAAACCTGTTGATTTGGATAAAGAAAAAGCAGTAAGCCAGTGCAGCATTTGGGAGGCAGTGGTAAGTGAACAAGCAAAGATGCTGCATGCTGGCCTGAAGACACCCCAGGAATGAGTGCTGAACATGATTCCTTTAAAGCGGTAGGGAGTGGTTCAATAAATTTTTAAAAATAAGTTCTTATCTATAGATTAAACAGTACATTAAACATGTACTATATATAAGAAAGGTTAAAGCAAGAAATCATTTGGTGGTCTAGAATGGATGAATTCAGTTTACATTATTTCTAATTGAAAAAGATGATTCAGTTTTTGAACAAATCACTTCTCAAACAACCTTCTGGAATGAATTAGGTTTGAGAATTAAGGTTCCACTGTACTCTTGAATGATACACAGTTGCATACATCATTGCATTGCATCAATAACTGGGTAAGGGAGAGACGTTGAGGGATTCAATGCATGCTGCACTGTGAGTTAAAGGGAGAATGCTGCATGACTCTGGGTCCAGTGCTCCCTGCACCTTTACCCCATGCCAGTCCCTCTTTGGGCCACCCCTTCATAGAGCCTTCCCTGAATATCCCCATTAGCCTTCTTCTCCATACCATGTGTTATTTTTCTTGATAGTATTTTCTTTCCTTACTTAAAATGATAGTCTTTATCTACTCATGGATATTAAAAGCTCTACCTTCTACAAAGCAGGTAACTGCCTGTCTTAGTCACACCATATCCCCAATGCCTATAACAGTGCTGGGAACTTGGTAGGCTCTCAAATGATATTTGTTGAATGTATGGACAGACAGATTGACAGACACACCATAGAGTCTATGCACCACTTCAACTCTCGTTATCACCCTTCCCATCTTTGTCCCTATGCCGCAGACACCAAAGTCCTCACTCTGCTCTGACCATGATCAACACTCACTAAGTACTTGAAGACTCAATGAATTAATGAACAGTCCTAGGAATTGTTTTTCTCAATATCCATATTCCAGCATTAAGATGTCCCAGCATATTAATGCACAAAGTTTACCCTGTTCTTGAGGCTGGCTGATAATAATTTCAAGCAAAGGAAAACTTGTGTAGGATTAAAAAAAAAAAAAAAAAAAAAAAAAAAAAAGCTACAACAGCATGATTGGAAGACCCCACCTTCAGTAAGCAGGTTTGCATCAGAGAGTGCTTCCTACAATGCTCTTTAATTCAAACGTAAGACCCTTCTTTTACACTATGCACAACACAGGGCAGGATATGAACAGGGTAAAAATTTAGCAAAATCATCATGGCTATCCTGAAAAAAGTTAAAAGACTTATTGGAGAAACAGTTCAACATATTACTAGGGAATACCTTTTATCCTGGGCAACTTAGGGAATGTTGGGATGCAGGTAGGAACACTGAGAAAGAGTGAGGCAGAGAGAGAAAAGGATGACTCCATTAATTTCGAGTGAAGACAACAAAATGATAGAGGCTAAACATAATACAATACTTACGACTTGTGTTTTTCTAAAACTACTTGCCAAGCTGATTATTGCTCCCACCTCTCAGAGAAATAGTAAGTTGTTCTAAAACAAAACATTTCACAAAACATAAAAATGACAACAAATTTATTGCAGGCTCTCTTTGCCTGAGTCCAATTAATACAAATTAAATTTTAAAAGTAAATTTTATTTCCCTAAGAAAATATATTAGGCCCTGGCCAGATATCTCAGTTGGTTAGAGTGTCATCCCGATGCGCCAAGATTGTGGGATCAATCCCCAGTCAGGACACATACAAAAAGCAACCAATGAATGCATAAGTAAGTGGAACAACAAATCCATGTCTCTCTCTCTAACTTTCTCTATCTCTCTTTTTCTCTTTCTCCCTCTCTCCAATAAATTAAAAAGAAAGTGCATTTCCAGAGCTTGATCAAGGCAGAGATTAAAGAAACCCCACTCATAAAGGACCAAACTGACTCAAGGTTCCAAGGCCAGTAAGGATATAGACTTTCTATGTTAGTGTAAGCAAGAGCATGGGCACCTTCTCCAGTGAGCATTCTCTAGGGTCCAAAGGCCTAGGGAGAGACAGAAGGTGAGCTAATGTCATCCTCAACAACTGAGGCATGCCCCAACCTCAGTGAGCTATTCTTAGTAAGTCAGCTCCACTAAAAGGCTGCTCTGAATACTATCTCATACCAGTTGGAATGTCATAGTGGCCAGGAATTTAGAGGATCAGAGATTCAGTGAATTCAATGCTTTCATTTCTAAATAAAGAGACCAAGGCTCAGGAAAGAAAGTGACTTGTCCAAATGTACTTCCCTAACAAGCAATAATTTAAGTACTTTACAATAAACTAGAGGCCTAGTGCATGAAGTTCATGCATTGGGGGGGGGGGGGGAGGCGGGAGAGGGTGTCTCTGCACCCTCTACAATCTGGTACCCCTGCAGGTTTAAACCTGATCCTGCAGGGCTCCTAACCGCTCACCTGCCTGCCTGCCTGATCGCCCCTAACCACCTCTGCCTGCTGGCCTGATTGGCCCCTAACTGCCCCCTGCTGCTGGCCTGATTGCCCCTAACTGCCCTCTGCTGCTGGCCTGATTGCCCCTAAACCCCTCTGCCTCAGCTCTTGCCACCATGGCTTTGTCCAAAAGGATGTCCAGAAGATGTCCAGTCAAATTAGCATACCCTTTTACTGATATAGATTTTTCTGGGAAGCAAAAGGAAAAAGTTATTTTTATATCAACTAACAAGTTTTAATTCTAAATGAAAATATTTGAAAGAACAGCCTGCTCATTTTCAGTTTAACTCTTTTTTCTTATTATTGCAAATATATTCTTTTAAAAAATATTAGAAAACAGAGAAAAGCAAAATAAAATATCAAAAACCTTAATCTGTTTTTCTGAGTGTATGCTTGTCCTACACCATAAATACTATTGTTTTCTGCTTTTTCCCAAGTTAAAAGTATATTAAGAGCATCCCTCCATGTTATCAAACATTATTTAATGATAAGCTCATAGTATGAAAGCACTATAACTTATTTAACCCATTATTTTTGTATTTTCAAATTTAGATTTAGATTCTTTGCCATTTTTCATTGTGCTTTGGTCAACATCTTTGTAACTGAATGTCTGTACCTCCATGATTATGTCCCTGTATAAAGCCCTTAAAGTGGACTTTCAAAAGATATGAAATATTTTTATAAAATAAGCCTTTTTCAAAGCTAATCAGAAATGTTCAAGTGGAAGTTCAATGACCAAATTTCTAAATCTTTATTTCCCTAGAAAACTTAAAAGGCTTTCAAAAAGACAAAAGGTTAGGAGGAAAGCATGAATCATCATTGAGAATGACTTCCTCAACAGGGAAATCATGTATTTTTATGTGCTACACTAAAGTAAATAAATAAGCCATTGTTGTGAGCTACTTAAATTCAGTTACTATTATCTCTTATTTAGGAGCTGAGAGAATTTCACACATTAAGAGAGAAAACCCATCCAATTACATCCTCGTTGCTAATCAAATATAAAGCACCCAGGACCATCTGGGAGAGACGGGACCTTCAATACAATGATAGATAGCTCTTTTTCTTATTCTGAGGGTATGCTTATTGCTTACTCAATCCTACCAACCTAATAATGTTTCCAATTCACATTAAGTCTAAGAAGTCAAAATGAGAAGGTTGAACTAAACAATCTACCTTGAGGCTATACAAATCCTATAGATCAGTTGTTTTTGTTGCACTTCTTTTAATCAATATCTCTGCTTCTATTGGAGAGCTGTAACTTTAAGCAAATTCAAAATATAGACATACAGATTTTCAAAGCAAATATATTAACGGTGGCCAAAGAAATCACTTCATAATTCCTTATTCCCTATCATTACCGTATTTTCCGGTGTATAAGAAGACCCCCTAATTTTACAGTTAAAACATAGGTTTAGACCTATATTTGCTGTATAAGACTACCCCCCACTTCCGAGGCAACACCAGTTCTTTTTTTAATAGACCGCCTCTCTGACTCTGGCCAATCTGAGCAGGCTTTTTACTAGAACAAGGTGTAGCTTCGGGTACAGAACATGTATAATTTGCATGCATAAAAAGCTAATAGAAGATGATCTCATCACTTTGGGCTTTATATCTCGGATCACAACTGCTCAACCCTGCTGTTGTAGCATAAGAGCAGCAGAGATGATTCATAAATGATTAAGTACAACTGTGTTCCAATAAAACTTTATTTACAAAAATGGGCAGCATCATTTGGCCTTTTGGGCTATAGTTTGCCAACCTTTGCTTTAAGGAACATGCTCCTTACTGTATGTAAAAGATTTCATGTGACAGCCTTTATTGTACTAGTTTATTAAGACTGTCACGATAAAAAAAAAAAAAAAGAGGAAAAAAAAGAAAAGAAAAAAACTGTCACAATAAATTACCACAGACTTGATGGCTTAAAGCAACAGAAA